AATATAAATCATTTTATCACATAGATTGACAAAACAAAATTTGAAAATTTTGGGAATAAGGCACAAGTTTTCTCTCTTCAAGACTTAGAGACTAGGGATCAGCATACATTAAGCTGTTGCTGTTTAATATTAAATAAATGTGTTTCGTTTTATACATTGATGGAGTAATTATAGAGGATTTAATTATTCAGAATGCTAATTTAATTATTTGATTATGTCTCGTATCAATTTTTGACAAAGATATCCAATATATTTTAATATAAAGCACATGTAGATCCTAATTCAAGACTTCAAGGCATTGTTACGTCTCATCAATTACGGAACATTAAAAAATATTAATACAAGTTGTAGTAATTTTTTTTTCAGAAACATCAAGTCATACTCTGAATTATCTTTAATTGAGAAATCAATACTACATGTATTTCTGTTTTTACAAAAAATTATCTCCATTTTAACACTTGTTCTATGAGAAAACTAGGCAGGGGAGATGTCAATCACTTTAATAAAATTTTCTAAAAGGACTCCTGCAATATAGCATATGATCACAATATGCATTTCAGATTCTATGAATAGTAAAGACTCAAGTCTTTATGCTGTTATATACTTAATCATGTGATAAAGTCAGAGAGCTTAGAATAAAAGGTGATATCACCTATTTGAATAAGTGCTATCACCTATTTGAATAAGTGCTATCACCTATTCATAAAGGTGATATAACCTATTTGAGTTTCTTACAACAGTCAAAAATGAATGCTCCCTGTAATATATAGATTACCACTGGAACCAAGAAAATTCGGACTACCCAGTTTTCAGGCGTTTTCTACGATTTTCATGTTGTTAACATGATATATAAGTGAAACAAATTAATTTGTAAGCAAAAAAAAAAAAAAAAAACTACAGCTGTTCGACGGGAAAAGGTGATATCACCCATTCGAATAGGCGATATCACCTTTTCGAATTGGTGATATCACAAATAAAAATCAAATAGGTGATATCATCTATTGGAACAGATGATATCACTTATTCAAATAGGGGATATTACTTTTTGCAGTAAATACCAAAACGGGGCCGCATACCTATGAATTAAGTCACAGTAGTGAAAACCCAATCATAAATATGTATTTTTATGCTGTTGAATTTTGAACCAGTTTCATGATCGAAATTCCACGACCCGGCTCAGTTTTCAACGGATTAGGGTCTAAATTCAACACCTTTGGTCTCCGTATTCAACGTTGAAAAATGACCCCCGGGTCAATTTTCAACCAAGGTCAAAATTCAACGTTACACCGCATCAGGCATTTTACTGTTGCAAAATGACCATATAATCTACAAGGAGAAGTTAAGTTTTTAAAAATGGGTTTAAAATATTTTGTTAAAAAGTTACATTAAGAATTTTAAAAAAGAGCATTTAAGCATTTAATTCTGTCTAAACCATTCCATTTGAATTATTTCCATTACTATTAACATTATGCAGCTTTTGTACATGTATAGATGCATGGTGCAGTCTTTATAGAGAAAAAGGTCAATATCAATTGGCTTTTTATATCAGGTTCGCTACTCTTTACAAAAGCAATAAGCAGTAAATCTGGAGAGCAAAAAAAAAAAAATGTTTGAATCACACAGTTCAAATTTAAGTTCCGGAGATGCCTGCATGGAATTAAATATTTGATTTTTATTAACTTGGAGACCTTCAAATCAAATCCTGTTCATGTGATTCCATAAATTCTGTACGCTTTATTTCAAAATGATAAATTTCTATATATATTCTAGATATTTAATCAAAATATATTCTGTGATGATGCAATTGTAACAACTCGGATATACATTGTACATGTACTTGTCTGATAAGCTTCCTTGCAGAATTCTTTAGAAAAGGCTGTTTTTACTTATTTTGTATACAAACTGTGTTCCATACATTTTTTTGTTTCTTGTGTATAAATTCCAAAATTACTGGGGTATAAATGTCCATCAGGTGTTAACAAATAAAATGAAAATAAACACATTCACATTTAGGAATTTCACATACATGTATATTGTGAATACAAACAGCGTTCCATACTTTTATTGCAACCATTAGGGCCTATATATATGTGTAGATGATATTTGGCTAGGGTGGAAGTCAAAACTTCTTTGGAGAGGGCTCATATAGGCTATGCCTGCTGCCCAATCCAATTATGTATTTTACATAAAAAAATATGTTCAAATCAAATCAAAAACTTCACTTCTTTGAAAATCAAAATATATAAATTTTTTTATTTAGTTTTTTAAAATTGCATAACAAACTACAGGTTAAAACAACAACTTTTAATGCTAATTGGCTATTGTTTACAGACTGTCTGTCATAGAAAGATCATATAGAAAAAGTACGGTGTGCAAATGGGTAATTCTAAATTCATATTGATCCCTAATTTTAATCTTTCGATTTCCCAACTTTCCCCTGAGTGAATTTTTCTAAACTTTTTATATGTGAGTTACTAATAACTTATCTACAAATCTGCATTAAAATATATTCTGTTGCAATTAGTTCTCATTTTTCAGTAGAATGACTAGACTATATGTATATACTTTTGCTTTTCGGGCTTCTGTGTCTATACGATAACTACAGATGATAAGAGTATTAAAGTATTTGCTCTATTAAGTATTGTAGTTGGTTCATTTGCCAACCTTTTCTTTTGCTATGAATGGCTATTTCGATGACGGTGGGCGAAAAAAACTTTTATTTTTGGTATTACATATTTTTCTACGCTGTAAATCTTGCTCTTGGTATTTCTAATATGCTGTCCTCGGAAAAAAAGAGATTTCCATATAGTTTTTGGTTTTGTAACAGTTGTATGCCAACCCTTGTTATTTTTACTGCGAATGTGGATAAGAGAAAAAATGAGTGAAAATATCAAATAAACTTTAATCTTTATGATTTCCCCCTGGAAATTTAAATTGTTTTATGCATAGAAGTTAGGTTGATTTGTTTATGTCAATCTTTCAAACCAACTCAAGTCTGAAAGACGAGAACAAGACAAATTTTAAAATCAATATTTTCTAACAGAATTGTTTTTTAATTAACTATAATATACTATAGAAATTGATTATAGTAGGTACTTTGATACTTTGATTTACTATAAATTTTTACCCCAAAAGCTGCTTTTTTGAAGATTAAAAATTTTAATGTTTCTAAAATAACATACCAATGATATAATTTTTTTTAAAAAAGTATGCTAATATAGAAAAAAATAGTTATTTCATTATCAGAAAATTTTTAAGGAATTAAAAAATAAAATAAATCTACATGCAAATCGTACTAAAATACTTTGATTTACTACGGTAATGTATATATAACTAAAATACTTTTTGTAAGTCTTGTTAACTGATACCCATCATTGGAAATACATATATTATAATTATATGTTCAAATTAAATATTTAGTGCCTGACTGTGTACAAATACAACATAATAGAAACAAATATGCAAACAAAAACTATTAATATTTTTGGTTCATGATATTCACGTTAAATCTCCAGACTTTATATGTAGATGTTTTTTTACAGAGTAACCATTTTCATGTAGCTATTTTTTACAATACTGTTGTCTTTGCAAGTATATGTTATGTTGCCCCCCTTGCATTGTGCTGTAGTACAGTCTTTGAGCCAGAGTAATTAAACATTATAAACTCATATAATGCATTGAATATTGCGTGTGACTCTCCTTTTTACAATTTAGAGCTTTTGTGATTAATTACATACTTTGTTGTTTTTGTTGAATATTTAATGCCCTTTTGCAAATTTTAAAAAAGTTATGTATTTCAATGAATCCTTCCTTAAATAATGATGATTGTGTAAACTTGCTCTAGATTTTACACCCTTTTTTTACAACATTTTATGTTCATATTTTTAGGGATATCTAACAAAGAAATTAGTGATCTCTGTTTATAACAATCAATCGTAGTCTACATATTGCAAAAAAGCGGTGTTGTGCAGAAAGTTATTGTATTTTCTTTTTGTATTTTATTGTACAGACACAGAATCCTTGAAATCCGCAATTTTTAAAATAAATGTTATTATGATTGTTAATAATATCAGAACTAACAAAGCCATATAAAATTTTCTGAAAATTATTTAAACAAATAATTTTCTTTTTTAATTTAAAATTAAGAAAATCGATTGAAATTAATGACGCTTTATCTGATCTATAAATAAATCGTATGTCAGTTTTACTTTTTAAAAGTTTTATTTTTTATTCATTATGTAATTCAGATTTCTCCTATCTATTTATAGATCAAGTAATCATTTTCCCTGTTCAAATTTGCATTCAAGATTGTAACAAAAAAAGAGAGAATAAACATATAATGATATTCTTGTCTCATGACTGTTCCTACAGTCAGTAGACAAGGACTTGAATATATGTTTCTTACTTATTTTGTTTCTTTATATATATGCTTGTGCCCCTAAAATAAATTTAAAAAAATCTGATTACCCTCCTTTGCATGTCAAGGAATTGTCGGTAGTTAAAAGTGGCCCCAAATGAAAATGTTTTGCTTAGACATTACCCTTCCAAACTTAAGTCGCTACCTATGGACTTGCGTATTAGGTGTTTCTCCTAGCAATATAAAGATGTATCAATACTTCTCTATACAATAAAATATTATATTTTTTTAACCGCCCTTCAAGCGTTGAGATAGGTAACTTGTAAAAATCAATCTATTTTTATCGCAATCAACTGGTAGATAAACACATTTGTATGTCCATGTATATCGTTTTCTGTAAATACACATGCATGCGGGTATTTCAGAAAATATAAATAGAACGAGGTAAAAAGTTATTATTACATTTGGAATTTCCATATATATACCCAGTATATAAATATCATTATTTAAGATTGAATACTAAATTGTGGAATAAATACTGGCCTTCAGTGTGCGCTTTAGTGTACTCTTGTGTGCTCTTCTTCCCTTAACAAAGGAATTTAGACATCGACAGCTGTTATAATTAAAACAGATTCAAATGAATTTGACGACTTTTATCTTTTAACATAATTTGACTCTCAAACATACTGCGTCGTTATAGCTGTAATCTTCAATTGAGCGGTGTGTTGTTTTAAAAAAAATTTTCCAGTGCCTCAACTTCACAACGTAGAAATGGTTGAAATGAACAGTTCAGGTGAGTTTTTTTTTTAATATACAACATGAATATAGGTTTTAAACTTCTTTATGATATAAAATTCACGTTTTTGAAGGAAATGTTGAACCTTTTAGATTATCTGTTTCACAATTCTTTCAGATTTCCCTGCAGAAAGCCTCGGGTTTTCACAGGAACAGATTACGTGTTTCGCAGTTGCTCTTGGATCATTCACCATCCTCATCTTCATTTTCCTTCTGTTTTGTGCCCTCGTAAAGGAAAAGTTGAAGGCTCTTCTTGAATTCGACATTAACTTACTAGAAACTAAATCAAACACGAACCTGCATGCCGTAAAAGTGTCTACTAAACAGAAGGACTACACTTCTAGTGAAAAAGAATTGGAAACATCTATATGCAAATCAATTTGCAAAAACATTGGAAAATGTATAATAGTGATCGCAACGGCAATTCTCAGTTTCATATATATGTTTGATTTCTTCCAAGATTCGTTCATGGTTTACTTTTATTTGGAGCATGAGCAGAGAGTTACCGCTCTTATATATTTGGCTTTAACCATTATTCCAATAATTCTGTCATATTTTCTGGTGCTTTATCCTCTTTTTTACCATGTGGATCCCTCAAATAAACGCCGTCGATTAATGCTTGTACTGCTTGCATGTTTTCCATTTCTAAAAAGCTGCATGTGAGTATTTTCTTTTTACCTATATTTTTATCTTATAATCCTACCTTCAAGCCAAAAAAAAGCAAATTATAAAAAACCAAATCAAAATATATACTGAACATATTAAAAAAATATAACCTGTGTTTAATCGTTTCCTCATTCAATATTGAAGGAAGAAAGTCTTGAATATATTTAACAAATAATGTTTTTAGCATTGTCTTTATTTTAAAGAGTTCAATTATTAAAGCTAATATAAACCAATATCTAATTGTATTTAAAAGTCAGATTGAAACACTGAGATACAGTGCTTAGTTTTTTTTCTTCTTTGATACCTTATTTGAAAGATATTTAACAATTGCTTCTAGATTATTCTGGACAATTCGAATGGGTTGGAAACGCTGGAGAGCGAGATGGTATTTACAAGCTTTGACGTTCCTTTGGTTGACTGAAGCCGCTCTGGAGGGAATTCCGCAGACGATTCTATTGTATTTTATTAAATATGAAAATAAAGATCTTAACATCGGTAAGTGCATTTGAATATCATTGATAATTTGTCCCATTAAGATTAATTATGTAAAAGCTGGCACACATCCAAGATAAACTTCAGATAAAGAATTTTTTCTCTATATACAGTAGTCGGGTATTGCTCTTTTTGATATTATGAATTCTGCCAGATAATACTAAAGAGACAATATTAAATTAAAACACAATGCACATGTATTATTCTCTATAATATTTTAATCTGGCGATTTTTTTTATTTCTGATAACAGAATTTGATTTTTTTTCTTTTACAGATTTGTACAACGCACAGGATATTTCTTTAGTCATTAATTTTGTGTCCTCCCTTCTTAGTGTATATTTTGCCACGAAGTACCTTAATAAAGACGAGGACCGAAGACTGGAACATTCCAAAAGAACTCTTACAAAATCGCACAAAAATAATTGTGTATCTTTTTGGCGTAAAATTGCTTATTCACTTGCTCTGTTGTTTGAAAGAGGTATTCAAATTTTCATTCGAATAATTATGTTTGGCACATTTGCATCTATTGTTGGGTTGAAGCCGGCTTTATATGTTTTCATAGGTCATCTTGTTATTCTTATAATCTTAACTTTACTTTGTTTTCGAAAACTCAAACAAAACCACATTATCTATGAAAACTGTACACAGAAACCTAGTTTTGTATCGAGTCTTTTAGTTGGTGTTGTTGCAAATATATTTTTCAGTCATTCTTGGTCATTCTGCCATATTTTGTCGAGAAAAGTGGTCTATATACTTTACTTTGTTTTGTTTAACGCCACTTCTGTTTCTCTTATTGTATCTTACAATGTTATTTCGGAAGTCGCGCTCGTAGATTTTTTTTCAATAATTATATATGTAGCCTTTGGTCTTCAGCTCATATTTATTCCCCTGTGTTTTCTTTTAAGAGAATGTAAAAGAAAAAAATTGTTACAAACATAAATAGTTCTGACATATTGAAAAGCATAACAAATAAATATATGTTGCTTCGCAATATAATGATTATTGAAAGATTTTTTAAAGTGAAATGTTTTGAACCATATAGCATTATTTGTTTAAATAACATGACCAATAAAGATTTTGAAATATTTTTTTTAATTATTTCGGAAAAATATAACCTTTATAGGATACAAAGGTAGCTTTTGAAATGATCTTATCTTTTAAAACATATGATGGAATAAAAAAAAAAGAGAGTGAAAGAGACAGACAAACAGAAAGAGAGATGAAATTTCTTAGAAATAAACTATAGGGTCAAAATTCAAAATCTGACCTTCTTCCTTTAGCTTAAATAAATTGTCTTAGTTTTGATAAGCTTACATGTAAGTAGGTCCAAAAAATCTAAAGGACACATTGTTACTCATGAACTACACAACGATTTTTTTTTTATTGCCATAGGCCCCTTCCCATAAAGTAATATTCTATTATATTATGTTTACTTTATGTTTCTCATCGGCTTCGGTATGAAATTGAAATGTACTGAGTACAATGAATTTTTTAAACCGAAAAAGGCTTATGACTTCTGATTCGATATCAGTGCTGACTCAACAATCTTTGTACGCAAAACCTAGGTTTGGGCACGCCCGTATGCCCTTATATATAAATACAACACATGCATTGGTTTTATGTTGATTGTAATGATTTGCTTCATTTATCTGATTATAAAAAGGGTTTCTGTTGTGCGTGACCGTTCGATAACGCCTGCATTAAGGTTTCGTCAAAGGTCAAAATGTTGAAAATTTTTTTTATTGCAATGGCCCCAAAACTACATGAGGTATAAAGTTAAAACTATTACAGTTTATCAATAATTTCTCATTGATTAACAGATAGAAAGTATCACTTGATAAAAAAAAAATCTTGGAAAAAATATCAATTGAGAAAAATTCTTCTTAAAAATGCATATATATTTTCAAACAATACACCTTATTAATGTCGTGCTCTTAGTGAAAACCATCATTGCAGAAACAAAATATGTTTATCAATGAAGGACAAGTTGGACTTGAATAGTCTCTGGAAAATTGTTTTAGTTGTTTAAGACTTGAAAGTGAAAGTACATTGCAAATGGCGGATTCTATGAGGGTCTTGTATTTATACATGTCATGGTTTTAATAACAGCCTTTGAGAGACCATATACGTCCAACTTGCCCTTCAATGATAAACATATATTATTTCTGCGATGATGGTTTTCACAAAAAGGACAGAATATAGCAGGTGCATTTTTTAAAAAATATGCACGTTTTCCGATACAATTTTCCTCCATTTTTTTTTTATATTTGTAATCAAGTGATACTTTCTATCTATTAATCAATGATATATTTATAAACTGTAAACGTTTTGACTTTATACCACACATAGTTTTGGAGCTATTGTAAAAATAATGTTTTTTTTTTCATTTTCTCAAAATTTACTTCCGGTCGGGAGATATTTCCGATTTCCATTTTTTAAAAATGTTTTGTTTGATTCATATCTCAGAAACGGTAAGATATTAAGACAAAAAACTTATATGAGTAATAGATCTTGATGAGTAGGCAAGCCCAACGAGTTAAGCTTGTCCGCCGTCGCCTCCGGTCGTCACAGGAAGTGATCAAATGAATCGAAAATTTCAAGTTTTCTTTTATGACACTTTATTGTATCACATTATAGTATCTAATTTGTAGTTTCGAAATATGTCAGTCCCACTGGAAACAAAAAACGACAACTTCCGGTTATATGGGAAAAACTGCATATTTTTGTATTTTTCTTTCCCTTGAATATTTTTTATACATAAAGTATTTGTAATGGTTTTTAGATATGTTATTCAGATTGCAAATATCTACAGTAATGTCAAATATCTTTTTAAAAAATTACTTTCGGTCACGTGATTTCTTGTCCTCAAAATGAGAAGTTAACATTACGAGATATCTAAAACTGTAATAGATCAAGACAATAAACTTATATAAATAATTAACCAGGAATATAGGGCAACAGATGTAGGGTAAAATGCATCCACCGTCACTTCCGGTCGTTACAGGAGGTGATAATAAATTTGAAAATGATTTTATTGTAAATATTATTAAGACTACAATTGTCTAAAGTAACGTCGAGAATCTTGGAAAGTTACATCTCCGGTCGTTTGTTTTCCTGTAATCATTTTAAATATTATATGCCTTTTTTAAAATAGATAAAAGCCCATTCATACAGATAAATAGAGGAGAGCGGTAGACCGTTTTTGTTGCTGTAGTAACAAGAGTTTCTAGCCTCTTTTATAAATTGTTTTGTGTAGGCAAAAAGTATATTTAAAAAAATATTTTCAAAACTTCATGTTTGCAGCTTCTCAAAGCAGAATAGGATTCAGAACATCTGATTCAAATGATTGAAAGGTTATAAATGAGGATACCAATACATGTATTGTTTCTCAGAAAAAAATCAAATTGATATAAATAAAATGTTTTTTTTAAATGGAAACAAAATATAATGACAGCTGAAAATTGAGATCATATTAATCAATGCTTTAGGGATTTTTAAAGCTCAGCCTTCACATACACCAGTGATTTAACTTAACAATCTGATAATCGCGGTTTTTTTTTTGGAAATGCTAGGTGTGATTAGGTATGTATTTATAGATCAAGAGATAAAGGATATAAATATACATTTGATATTTCCAGAATTGATAAGATATCTTCTAATTATAGAGCCTACGTTTACAAATATATTTTCCTTCCAATATTTATTATGCCCTCGTAATCGAATATTGGTGGATATAGATCTGTCGTGTCCGTCAGTTTGTCTGTCTAGCTGTCTCTATGGTTGTCTGTTTCTCCGCAAAATCTTTAACCTTGCCCATAACTATTGATTTAGTGGAGCTAAATCAATATTTCACATGTGTATTCCTTTTGATAAGAGCTTTCTTTGGAAACCATAAAATTTGACTCTTTTACATTGGAGTTTGACCCATTTTTACACAAAAGTGCGAACTTCTACTTTTTGACCTATATTTTGAACAAATAATACCAGGACATTTTAACTTCATATCTCTAATTTTTATGGCAAGACCTTTCACTGAGTACCTACATCTTTGACCCTTTTACCTTGGATATGTCCTTACTTATGAAAAAAACGTTAACCTTGACAATAACTTTTAAACGGTAAAGGCTTTCTTACATGTGTACTTCACATTATGTAATCCTTTTAAGAAAAGGCTTTGTTGGATACCAAAAACCTTTGATCTTTTGACCTTGGATTTTGACCTACTTTTAAAAAACAACATCTTCCATAATTTTTGTGGGGTAAGAACACGGGCTTTTGTACTTCACATTTGTAATTCTTATAACAATATCTTTCATTTAATATCAAGAACCTTGGCCATTTGACCTTGACCTTGAAATATTTGACTTTCGTAATGATTTTTTTACGATAGATACTAGGAATTTTATATTTCAAATATCATTTTTGTGGCAAGATCTTTCCTTTGAAACCAACAATTTTAATCTTGTGACCTTGACCCCGAGGAGATTTCCGTACTTACGAAAAAACTTTAAACTTGGCCATAGCTTTTGAACGGTAAAAGCTAGGGCTTTCATACTTCACGCATGTAATCCATGTGAGAAGACCTTTTATTGGATATTTAACTTGTCCCCTTGACCTAGGAGTTTTACCTACTTTTTACAAAGTCAAATCTTGGCCATATTTTTTAAACAGTAGGGGTTAGAGCTGTAACACCCCCCCCCTACCCAGGGAACATGAAATGTATTATTTTGCTTGGTGCACCTTTCTCCCTCATATCTATATTTCAGTATCATTGGCATAATACCTCGGAGCAATGGAAAAAAATTTCAAAGAAAACATGCATTTTCAGTAGAATTATATAATCATTAGATCACCGCCGTAACACCACAACCCCTGAACAAGGGGCCATGAAATTCACAATTTTGAAAGAGGCATTCTTCTGCATCATAACTATGTACATAGTTCATTGGTATAATACCCAGTAACAGGGAAGAAGATATTTGAAGAATCAATGTATTTAAACGATATAATCAATAAATTCCCGCCCTAAAATTTAAACCTCGAACCCAGGGGCGACAAAATCATAAATCAATACTTAGTTACTTTGAAATCATATCTAGTCAGCCTCTTTCCCAACAAAGAGTTACGGACTAAGCAACCTGCTACATGTAATATAATGTTGAAAAAGATTCAAATCGGTAGATTAATTATTATTATTATTAACAGACTACAAAGACTCATGGTGTCTAATTTCTTACCTACGATGAAACAGTGTTTTGTTTTAGAAGCTATTTGTCAGAAATGCATATTCATTTCGAAAAAAAAAATGGCTGAAATAAAGAAATAAACAAATCTTTTATGGAGATTCCTGAAGTAATTTATTCAGAAAACAATAAGTAACCATAATATATGAATATTACAAAAAGTAATACTTTTCGGAGAAACTAACTATGCTAGGTAAAAATTAATCCAGTGATGCTTGAGAAGAAGTGGAAAATGTGAAAAGTGTACAGACGGACAATGGCCAAAATCTGATCAGAAAAGCTCGCTTGAGCCTTTGGCTTAGGTGAGTTAAAAAGTAATTTCTACTGACATTAATTTGTATGGATAATATTGCATCTATCTCGCCCATATGCGAATAAGATGCTTTTAACTTGGCAGCGCAATATTTTTTGGCGCAGTTATCTCTCCTTGTTTCGGCATGAGTTATCTAACTTTCAATTATATAAAGAAGGATGCTCGTGCTGCAAACTCTCTCTTTGCCGGTTACACGCTAGTTGCAAGGTTGGTGTTAATCAAATTTGAGAAAACAATGGCTAAATGTAGATTTTAGAAATCCCCCAATTGTACATTGTTGAATAGATACTGCTGGTTTCTGTTTTTTCCTTTCAGTGGAAAATTTTACAAAGCAATTGGTCATCTCTACCTACATATTCGGCATGGCTGTCACTTCTGAAGACGGAATGCGAACTAATATTTCCAAGTTTTACAAAGCAAGTGGCCATTTATACCTACGTATATATATATATAGCATGGCTGTTACTCCTGAA